TCGAGATTAGTTCTATCGATCGGAATTTTTTGCAAAAATATTTTCAAATAATATTTCTCTTGTTCTTTGCCATACGGCAAGAAAAAAGGAAAACGAATTACTGCAGAGTGTTTGCGCTTTACAACCACTCGTTTTTTAAGATCTAAAAATTTGTTTTCTGATTCAATTACAAGTTCTTCACTTTCTTCAATATCCGAACAGTCATCGTCTTTACCAGTTTTTTCAAATTTTTGTGCTGATCTTAATGTGTAATCTTTAAAATAGTCGGGATATGTTAAATGTCTGAGATTAGTTGGTCGATCGACATATTTGTCAATTTTTGAGAAATAGTATACGTCTTCTGAATTTGGATCGGATGGGAGATCTTTGTTGCGTTTGAGCACCAGTCTCTCGATATCGCCAGGCAATTCAATCGGGAGATATATGACTTCAATATTTGAACTCTTGGCGGGGAACTGAAGCATATGATCATTAGCCTCAACCGATCCAATGAGTCTCATTTTCAGAAATCTTTCGACATCTGATGCGTCTTTAGAGACATTTTTTCCCCACATCACTTTCTTTACTGGTTCTGGTTTTGTCATATATTTAGCCAAATACAACTCCCAACCGGCTCCTTGCACTTCTTGGATGTTTACGTGTGCGCGCATTGTTAACAAAAGTCCGTAACTGTAAGGCACAACTCTTTGATCTTCTTTACATCTTCGACGATATAGTTTTCGAAGATTGCCTTCTTGTGGCATTGTTTTCTCACAGTAGCGATACGGGAAACCAAAACGACAGTTCTTTACTTTTTTCTTTTTGCGCCCGACTACAAAACATTTGTCTGCTCTACACGTGTGAATCTGATGTCTTTTCACGAGCATTTCCAGTTCTTCTTGTAATTCTTTGTCAGGTCCACCGCGTGGTATTTCCGCTTTTACTACATCTTCTTTTTTGGTTTCGGGCTCAACCCATATGGCACAGTGAATATGACCGCCTCCGCGCCACTGATACTCGCGCCTATACCAATAACGCACAAAGGTCCACCGCGTGGTATTTCCGCTTTTACTACATCTTCTTTTTTGGTTTCGGGCTCAACCCATATTGCACAGTGAATATGACCGCCTCCGCGCCATTGATACTCGCGCCTATACCAATAACGCACAACCTTTCCCAATTCGCCTTCTTTATCAAGATTGTTTTTCTTATAAGTCATCCACCGCTGATGAAATGCGATGGAACATTCAGTTGCGTACACATAACGGCCAAGTGGTATAAGTAGCAGTACTCCCGTAGCCAGTGTGCCAAGTGGTGGACCAGGTACAGAATTGTGTTTGACATAAAGACCGGTTAACAGTAATCAACAATGACAACGTTTTATATCCGGTTCACGTCCCATGGCAACACTTATTGAGTGTAGTTCTTGTAATGCCGCCCACCAGTAACTCTGCAAACCGGGTATATTCGCCGGCACTCGTTCTCCGTATTTGTCATACATACTTTGGCCTTTTTTCAGTTCACCTGCAGTCGGCTTCTCTACAGCAGTTTTTACATTTGTGATTACAATTCGATTATGTGCTTTAAGCGATTGTTTAACATATCTATTGAGTTGAAAGTGTATAAAAAATTCGTTTTGTCTCCAACGCGGTTCATAGTTTAATAAACAACACTTGCAATATTCGCGGTGTTTGTGTTTGCCATCTGGATTGAACGATCCTTTACCAGATGGATAGTCCCGCGGATATGCCAGTGCTTCGAGATTTGTATGATTAAGACCTGGTCGAGTCAGAATGTGTATTGCCGGTTCACCATATTCATCGTCATGAGGGCATCGGTCACACGGTTCACCACCTGGTCCATGTCTTAACACAAACTGTATTTCTGGCCAATTGTCATTAGTTGTTACTGTTGCAAAATAGTCCGGTTCACGTCCCATGGCAACACTTATTGAGTGTAGTTCTTGTAAAGCCGCCCACCAGTAACTCTGCGAACCGGGTATATTCGCCGGCACTCGTTCTCCGTATTTGTCATACATACTTTGGCCTTTTTTTAGATCACCTGCAGTCGGCTTCTCTACAGCAGTTTTTACATTTGTGATTACAATTCGATTGTGTGCTTTAAGCGATTGTTTAACATATCTATTGAGTTGAAAGTGTATAAAAAATTCGTTTTGTCTCCAACGCGGTTCATAGTTTAATAGACAACACTTGCAATATTCGCGGTGTTTGTGTTTGCCATCTGGATTGAACGATCCTTTACCAGATGGATAGTCCCGCGGATATGCCAGTGCTTCGAGATTTGTATGATTAAGACCTGGTCGAGTCAGATTACGAATTTCTCGTTCACTTAGTGTTTTTTCGTCTATCACTTTCGGATGTGTAATTCCGACCGGAAAGTCTTCTTCGTCATCGGGATCATGATCGCCTGTGTAGTTCTCGGCTGCGATCCAAGTCCCTACTTGTTCGTCACCCATATTTTTGTTCAGAGGTTCACCAGTTGTTGTTGTAGGATTTGGCACTTTTGATAAAAGAAACGGATTTTGATTCTTTTCAATGTATGGCATAAGTGTCTCATAGTTTGAATAAAATTTCTGAAACAGAGGATTCCATTCTTTCAACCAATGAAGAGCTCTTTTCACGCGATGTTTTCTCGCACTCTTGTTATTATAATTCTCATCCGACTCATCAATTGTCTGACTGAGCTTTTGTTGCATTAATGTAAAGAGAGTTAAATAAGCGTTGTCTTTTTTAGACATCATTTCAGTCTCTCCTAAATGGTGTTGAAAACGGCGGCCTTTTGGGTTTGGTTTATTTGCAATTGTGTGATATGTACCCATTAGCGCCACCGATGACAATTCAAGCCAACCTTTGAGTTCTGATAACTCTGGCGGCAGAGTCATAGTGTTTGTTTCCGGGTTCAACACATCAAACATTTCCAACACTCCTCTCGGATCCCTTTTGCAGATTTTGCAGAGATACCATTCATTCTCTGATCTTGTGTATGGAATGCCGTTGTTTAGTTGTTCGTATCTCGCGCAAACTGGTGGAGTTTGATTGGGTTCTACTCGCACTGTTGTCCAACGACCATTCTCTTTACAGTCACCAAAAAGAAGTTGTCCGCAATTAGCGCACATTGCTTTAAACAGTGGCTGTCGTCCCAATTCTAACCCGATATCTCGCCATTTGCGCAATTGTCTCACGTCATTTGGAATGTTATCTTTGGTTTCGTTTTGTAACTCGATCTCTTCAACTGTGAGTCTGTTGTCGATGTCATTAAAAATCTCGTTCAACTCTTCGCGAGAGATCGTTTTTGTAAATCTATTGAATTGGTTCTGAAGATTTTCAAGACTTGATTGGTATTCCGGAACTTTAGATATAAATAAATCATACAAAAGTGTCCCGTATTCGATTGATTTATTGCGTTCATGAAGGAGATGTGCTTCAACTCCACACAATATTAAAGTTTGTTTATTTTCTTTAGTCCACTTGAAATTAATTCGCTCTTTCGTTTTTTGTTGATTGTGTAATGAATGATATTTAGTTAAAATATTTTTCTGATTGATTGATGATTTATAAAAATCAATTTGTTTATCAATAAGTGATTGCTTAAATTTAATAACTAAAGCCTTTTCTGGCAATTTTCCATTATTTACAATTTTTACAAATTCGGCACATTCTATGAGAATGTCTTCAGTTACTTTCGTCCACACAAAGTGTTGTTTCTTAAAACCGCCGCCACTTAAATTATTTACAAATAATCGTCCAGATCGCATTGATACGCCCCGGGCCTGGTGAACCGCCCATGACGCACTCACTCGGGGACAAGACCGCACGGAGCGTGAGCACTCCGTTTGGCTGCAAAAACATTTATATAGTTTTGCCGGCATCACGCCATAAGCACAGCTTTACCGAGAAATTGGCCAGACATTTGCCTGTTTCTAGCATGACGACGGAGACGTTTTCTCGTTCCGGCAATTAACAATTAAAGAGCTGTACCATTAATTTAATCATTAACAGTAAATAGGTGTAACTCATTAATAATAATAAATACTTAAATAATTACTAAAAATTACTACTATTATTATTAATGTTGATTATATTATGAGTATTGTTATTACGTTTATTATTATTATTATTATTAATGTTGTTTAAATTGTGATTATTGTTAAAACTTTTATTATTATAATTATTAATGTTGCTTATATAATGATTATCGTTATTACTTTAATTATTATTTATTATTATTATTATTATTATTATTATTATTTATTATTATTATTATTTATTATTATAATTATTATTAATTTATTATTGCTGCGCGTCTACCCGGTATAGTATAGTGTAATGTATAAGTTGTGTGTAAGAAATGTGTATAACACTGTGTATATAATTGTATATAAATAATAAAAATAATTTAAAACATAATTTATAAAATATTTATAAAAAGTTTGCCGGCGAAGGGGTTGTAAATCCCTTACCGGCTGTGTTGATAAATTGTTTTTTGGCACAGGGTGTGTGAATCCCCGGCCAGCACTCTGTTGGGCCCCAGTCGGCGATCAGGTGCCCGGCGCTCATGTCTTGACCGCGTTTGGCAATAGCATTGCCTGCGCCCACAGGTTGAGCCCCAGTCGACGATCCGATGCCCGGCGCCCGAGTGCTGTGGATGGAGTTGTCGATGTCATGGCCCGCAACTCATCCGTATGTCCTGTTTATTGGGTTATCAAACGATACAATCATTAGAGTCGGCAATAAGTGAATTAAAAACTATATTACAAACCATTGAATCGTGAAATACAGCAACTGTTGGGCCGACAGCTGTGGCTCATTGAGACTGACATCCGATCCGTCAAATAATCGGTACTTTTTTGTGGCAAACGTTGAGATGTTTTGCACCGAAAGGTAGAGTCGGAGCCAATGTCTGAACCAACGATCCAAATGGTGGACACATTTGTCGCACTCACACACTATTGAACAATGTTTGAGCGCATAGTGTCTGTCGGCGATGGTTTGGTCGGCGCTCACGTGTGGCCGCATTGAGACTGATATCCGATCCGTCAAACAATCGGTACTTTTTGTGGCAAACGTTGGGATGTTTTGCACCGAAAAGTAAAGTCGGAGACAAAGTCTGAACCAATTATCGGACATCAGTTTACGGGACAACTCGTGGCCATCGCTATAGAGTTTGCACTCATTCTTGTGATACTTGCAGTCATTTTTCTGACACTCTTTAGTGCAGTAATACATGTGAAGACATTTCGAGCATCTCTTCAATTGATCCGATAGTTTGAAACAATTATCGCATTATTTGTCTTTGTTTTGTCCGTAAAGCATATGAATGATAGGCAAGTTTTCGGTTATCACATCCACCGGTGGTAATGGTTTCGACAGTTTTGGTAACATTTCTGGCCATAGATTTCAAAACAAATGAAAAACACGTGTTTTTTATGCAATTCAGAAAACTTACCACAGATTTGATGATTGTATCCAATTGTGAGACAAAGTCTTGTGATGGAAGCGATGGACATATGGTATGAATGAGTTGTCCGTAAAGTGTCTCCCAGTTTATGGACTGATCTGTGGATTAATGCCTCGAAAGTGAGAGCACTGGTAGCGATGGTATTGCCAGCACTGGTGTGTTGTGACACACAATGGCGTCTGTATTGCCAGTGCTGTTGTTGTTGCTGTTATGCCACAGATGGCAACAGTAGAGAGAGAGAGAGATTTTTAATGACATCGACAACAGACTCACAGTTGAAGAGATCGAGTTACAAAACGAAACCAAAGATAACATTCCAAATGACGTGAGACA